GATGTCCAGAAAAAGAAGCAGGGATGCAGAAGGCTGGTTGGGTACTGGGATATCACCCCCTTGTCCCCCCACCAGGGTTTGGCACTGGCGACTTCAATGCTGGAGCATCCCATGAGCTCGTTGCTGATGCTAAAAATTAGGGATAATACAGCTCCAAAGCCTCCAAACTCACTCCGTTGAGTGGTTGAAATAAATAAAACTACTCCAGCGCACAAGGAGCGATAAAAACCCACCGAAAACTCTGGGAAGGGTGCAATTAATGCCTTGTGGGGGCCGTGGGGCGTGGGCAGGGGCTGACTGCGGCTGCCCGCAGGGGGGACGGCGGCGCTGACGGCGGAGCAGAACCACAAACTGGACACGTCCATCCACTACAACATCCCCGAGCTACAGGCGTCCACCCGCCTGGCCGGGCCCCCGCACAACGGCACGGCCGAGGGGCCGCTCCGGCCGCTGCCCGCCCTGCCCCGGGACTCCTCCGAGGATGAGGAGGAGGAGGAGGAGGAGGAGGAAGAGGAGGAAGATTACCCCAGGCCCAAGTGGCAAGGGATCGAGGCAATTTTTGAAGCTTACCAGGAACATATAGAAGGTGAGGGGTGTTGGGCAGGGAGGGTAAAATGCCAGTCTGTGCTTTGGGTTCCTGGGGGAGGTGTCACTGGTTCCTGCTGGGATGGGCTGGGGAAGCGCTGGGGGATCTCCAGCAGTGCAGGGGCAGCATGAAAGCAACAGGCACTGTTTTTGCAAAAATTAATGTATGCCTGAAAAATCGGTGTATTCACAGCTGCCCAGTGTCCTCCCAGTGGGACCTAAAGGTTCCCCACAGGCAGTGCCAGGGTTGGGAACACTCTGGGGTGCTGGGGGCAATCACTGCTGGCTGGGCAGAGCTTAGAGCAGGGCTGGCACCCTCCATGGGTGGTGCAAGGAGCTGGAGGAGCCAGTGCTCAGCCCTTGTCCTTTGGGTGTTGCAGAACAAAACCTGGAGCGCCAGGTGCTGCAGACGCAGTGCCGGCGGCTGGAGGCCCAGCACTACACCCTGAGCCTGACGGCCGAGCAGCTGTCACACAGCATGGCGGTGAGTGGGGATGGGCTCCCATTCCCTGGGCTCCCATTCCCTGGGCACTCATTCCCCTGGGCACCCAATCCACCTGGGCTCCCATCCCTTGGGCACTCATCCACCTGGGCTCCATCCCCTGGGCACTCCATACCCTGGGCACCAGGTTCTGTGGGCACCCAGTCTTCTTGGAATCTTCTTGGGCACCCCAATGCTCCCACAGCACACCCGTCCACATGCATTGCACCCATCCTGTGCAGTGCCCGTTCCCTGCAGTGCCCATTCCCTGCAGTTCCCCATTCCCTGCTGTATCCCAAACCCTGCACTGCCTCATTCCCTTCAGCGCCCCATCCGTACCCTGCCCATTCCCTGCTTTATCCCAAACCCTGCAGTGCCCATTCCTTGCAGTGCCCATTCCTTGCAATGCCCATTCCTTGCAGTGCCCATTCCTTGCAATGCCCATTCCTTGCAGTGCTCATTCCCTGTAGTGCCTGTTTCCTGCACTGCCCATCCCTACACTGCCCATTCCCTGTCCATTCACTGCACTGCCCATCCTCTGTATGGGCAAACTCCTCTGTATCCCAAACTGTGCACTGCCCATCCCTGCACTGCCCATCCCTACACTGCCCATTCCCTGTCCATTCCCTGCACTGCCCATCCTCTTCTGTATCCCAAACTGTGCACTGCCCATCCCTGCACTGCCCCATTCCTGCACTGCCCATTCCCTGTCCATTCCCTGCGCTGCCCATCCCTGCACTGCCCCATCCCTGCACTGCCCACCCTTACACTGCCCATTCCTGCACTGCCCATCCCCTGCAGCACCCATTCCCTGTCCATTCCCTGCACTGCCCCATCCCTGCACTGCCCATTCCCAGCAGCACCCCCACCCTGTTCCCCTGCCGTTCCCCTCCCCTGGAGCTGTCGGGTGCCCTCTGACCATTCCCATTCCCTGGCTGCCCGCAGGAGCTGAGGAGCCAGAAGCAGAAGATGGTGTCGGAGCGGGAGCGCCTGCAAGCCGAGCTGGATCACCTGCGGAAGTGCCTTGCCTTGCCTGCAATGCAGTGGTCTAGGGGTTATTTCAAGGGGTATCCCAGGTGACGCTCCTTGGGCCAGGCCGAACATATAGTCTAGAAATAATAATCTATTTTATTACCTTGAATATTTAATATTTTTCACTGGGAGGTTTGAAGCTACAAAAAAAAAAAAACTTAAAAAAAAAAAAAAAGAAAGCAAACCCAAACCACGACAACAAAATCATTAATAATAAAAGGAAGAAAACAGAAAAAAAAAAAAAAGAATTAAATAAGTGGAGAATGTGCCATGCATGAAGCAAACGGGAGCCGGGAGGAGCCGGGAGCCCATCCCACGGCCAGCAGCCCTCGGCATGTCCCCTCCTGTCCCCTCCTCCGGGGGCCACGGCTCTGAAAGCGCCCCCCTCCACCCACCCACACTTTATAACGCTCATTTTTAGTTGGTTCTTTGGTTTTTTTTTTTTTCCTAAAAAAAAAAAAGGAGAGAAAAAAAAAAAAAAGACAATGAAAGACTCCACCGACAACACTAAACCCGGCGGGGCCCCGGGTGCTGCCGGACCCCGCTCCCAGCACGGCACCCCCAGCCCGGGGTTTCCCCTGGAAATGCACTTCGCTATCAAAAAATAAAGTCAATAAACTGGTTGAAGGTCCCTTTTTGTTCCTGGTTGGCGGGGAAGGGGCAGGGACACGCGCGGGGTCACTTTGTCACCCCGGCTTTGGGATTGAACAGGTGGAAAAACAGAGAGGAAAAAAAAAAAAAAAAAGGTGCTTCAGCCTTGTACTGTGTATATATATTAAAAAACAACAAAGTTTTGTATGTTTTTATTGCTTTAATTATTGTTATAAAAAGCTTGCCTTTTTTTTTAAGATGTTTCTGCTTTTTTTTTTCCTTTTTTTCCCCCCCTCCCTTCTGCCTCCCTGTTTTTACTTTCTTTCTAGTTTGTTTTCTTTTTTTTTTTTCCTTTTGGCAAAAGGATTAACTCGCTTTTAGTGTTTGTACTGCTGCTGGTCGGGCCAGAAAAGATATTGAAATGTTTTAAAAATAATTCAAACCCAGGAAAAATAAATCCCCTTTTCCACTGGGGCAGGTCCTGTCCCACCACCAGGCCCTCGAGAAGCTGAGCCCTTCCACCCTCCTGTGGTTTTCTTTATTTTTACCCTTTTTCTTTTGCTTTCTGGGGCTTTTTCTGCTCCAGCTGGGTCGTTGTGGGTGTCACAGTGCGGGGTGGTGCCTGAGCCTTGCCCAGGCTCTGTCTCCCAAAGGAAAAATCCCAAGGAATTGCGTGGAGAGGCGGGAGGGTTGAGGGGTGGGTGGCACTGGGGTGTCCTTGTCCCCCCCAGAAAATCCCCAGACAATCAGAGCGGCTCTAAGGCAGTTTGGGCACAGGGAGAGTGGGTCCTGTGGGGTCTCTTGGTGGCACTTTGGGGACAATCCACGTGGAGCTGTGCCCGCAGGCGGGCAGGGATGTCCTGGTGCCACCAGGGTCAGGCTTGGTGCCATTTTTAGCCACTCGCTAAAAACCAGCGCGTGCCCCACCTCCCCTCCCCCGGGGGAGCCTTCTTATTTGATTGTTATTTTTAAATTATTTATTAGAAATTGTTTTTAATTCGCCACGAGACCAGCTCACATCTCCGGGAAAAGGTGACCTCTGCTTCCTGCTTTAAATTCCCTCGTTGCACTGGCAAAGAAAAGCATCAACCCCCCCACGCCCCCCCTGCTCCCTGCTCTCTCATTGGCTTCACCAAATCAAAAAAAGCTGGGCGAGATTAAAAAGCAAAAATGCCCTTGTGACAGAAATTAGTTTAATCTTTTTTAAATCCCCAATTGCCTCGCCAGCCTCTGGCCTCGCCGCTGCCAACTCCGGGCTTCGAAGGGAATTTTAACACGGCAAAATTCGCTCGTTGCTCTGCTCCTTTCCCTTCCCGTGTGCCGTGGCAGAGGGAGGGGGAAGAAACCAGGGATGGGAAATTATTGGCAATTTATCCCTCGCCGTGCTGAGGAGCCTGGCTGGGATGCAGCCTCGCTTTGTAGCAGCTCCTGTGCTGACTTTCCCTCCTCACCAGCCTGGATTCAGGGTTTTTGGACCAATTTTTCCCCCACTCCGGGGTTGTGGTGAGCATTTGTGTCCGTGCAGAATTGCTGGAGCAGCTGTGCCAGAGCCTGGAAGGGCTGGGAGGAAGGAGAGCAAGGCAGAGCCTGCTGGGGGCAGGTTGGTTGCTGTGAAAAACAAAACAAAACCCCAAAAAAGGACAAAAACCCAACCCTAAACATGTTCAAAGTGTACCTTGTTGGAATTAATTGTAATGTAATATATTATTTGTTGAATGTAGTAATTAGGTATTTATGAATATATTGCTGTAATTCCTGAAAACATCCCCCAAAAAAAAAACCCCAAATAAACTCTTCCACAACGACGGCGAGGAATCCTTTCTCCCTGGGGAACGCAGCCCTGCTCCGAGCATTCCCGGCAGCTCCTGCCGTCATTCCTGCCACCCTCCCGCGGTGCCAGCCCCGCGGGGCACAGCCCGGGCAGGCAGGGCACAGATGGCAGCGGGAGCCCGGCCCAGATGCTCGGGGAAGGGCAGCGCCGGCAGCCTGGCACCCTCGGGCACCGGGAATAATGACAGCTGCCAGCAGCACAGCCCTGCTCCGGCCAGAGCCCGCCCGGATCCTGCTGGATCCTGCCCTGAATCCTGCTGGATCCTGCCTGGACCCACCCAGATCCTGCCTGGATCCTGTCTGGATTCTGCCTGGATCCTGCCCTAGATCTTGCCAGGATTCTGCCCCAGATCCTGTCTGGATCCTGCCCTGAATCCCCACCAGGATCCTGCCTGGATTCTGTCCTGAATCCTGCCGCAGATCCTCCTTTGGATCCCGCCTGAATCCTGCTGCAGATCCTGTCTGGATTCTGCCTGGATCCAAGGACAGTGGGCCACCCTCTTGGGGGACGCAGGGACTGTGCCACAAACAGGGGACAAGGTGCCACCATGCCAGGGGACACATGGAGTGTTTAATGGGCAGGATGTGGTGACACAGCTGGGGTCACATGAGTTGTGCCACAGGTGAGGGGATGTGGTGACACCAAGCTGGGGGGCACCTGGACTGGGATAAGGACAGGACATGGTGACTCCAAGGGGGAAGACACAGGGACAGGACAGAGTGACACAGCACTGATGTCCCCTGTGCCCTGTGTCACCCTCAGTGCCACATCCCAGAGCTGTAAATAGGGAAGGGGACACGGACAGGGCTGGGCTCTGAATAAAGTCGTGTTTTGGGGGATCTGGTGCTGTTTTTGAGGGATGACAAAAAGGTGGGGAGGTTAGGGGCAAAAGTGCTCCAAGGGAGGGTGGGGACAACCCCAGGAGGGAGAGTAAAAAAAACCCCTGGGGGAGGGAGGGCAAAAGCCCCCTGCCCTGAGGCTCTGGGGATGCTCCAGCAGCTCTAGAGCAACCCCCAGCCGGGCCTGAGGGGAGCTGTGAGGGTGGGCAGGTCCCTGAGGGAGGTGGGGCTGCCCACATGAGCAGCTCCTTCCCAGCTCCTTCCCAGCTCCCCGTCAGAACTCCTGGGAGTGGGAGCTCTCGCCAGGCTGGAGGTTAGTCCGGAGCTTGTACATGTGGTCCAAGGCCTGGGTGAGGAAAGTCCCAGTGGTGTTGATCTCCATCAGGGTTAAGTTATCCAGCTAAAAGGGGAAATAACAGGATCTGGGAAGAAAAGGTACTCGGGAAGCAGCTCACAGCCCACAGTTCCCCTTGGTGACACCACAAAGGACTGACCCAGCTGCCAGCCCTGGGCAAGAGAAGCACCCAAGCACCATTTCAAGAGCACTCCCCATGCCTGGAAGTGCTCAAGCACAAGCTGGATGGGGCTTACAGCTGCCTGGTCTAGTGGAAAGTATGAAAAGGGGTAGAACAAGATCTCCAAGAGCCAACCCAAACCACTCCATGACTCCTCCGCTTCCCACAAGGCACAAGGCTCAACACCCAACTCCAGCTCCTCAGTAACACACCCACGAGCCAGGATGAGCACGCTTTTCCCAGCAGCTCACCCCTATCCCCCCGGATCCCTCCCGGGACGGGGTGCTGGCCCACCTTGGCGTGAGCCTCCTGCTGCCGCACGAAGCTGTCGGCGGACAGGCGCAGCTTGGCCATGCGCGTGTCCCACGTGTCCTTCACCAGCGTCCGGATCTCGTCCGCCCTCGGGATGTTGTCAGAGGCACTGGGACAGAGAAAGGGAGGGCAGGGTCAGGGCAGGCTCTGAGGGGTGTGTGGTGGTGTCACCGAGTGGTGACACCCACCCAGGCGCTCGCAGGACGGTTTGCTAAAAGCCTGCGACGCCACGCTAAAATCCTCTCTGCTCCTTGTCCTGCTGGCATTTCTGGGATGGGTTCTTCCTCCAGGAATGCTCAGCTCCAATGCAGCAGCTGGCTGTCACTAGAATCCTTCTGCTGTTTAATTGCCCAGCTGGTATGAGGCGCACAGAGGGCCCCAAACCTGGCCAAAGTCACGGCCAGCTGGGGAATCCAAGGGCTCAGGCACGATGAAATCCCCAGCTCGGGGCTCCCGGGGCTCCATCAGGGAGAATTAAGCTGGAAGGGCCACATGGGATGTGCCACATCACCCCATTCAAGCCACTCAGAACTGCCATAAGGAGCTGGGAGAGGCGATGGATGCGCAGGGACAGAGCTGTCAGGGCTGGGATGTGCCACATCACCCCACTAAAGCCACTCAGCGCTGCCATAAGGAGCTGGGAGAGGCAATGGATGCACAGGGACAGAGCTGTCAGGGCTGCTGGAGCGTGCTGGGAAGGAGCAGCACGCCAGGAGCCTCCTCTCCAGAGGGAAAAGCCAGAGCTGGAATGCCCACCCTGCTTAATCGAGGGCTTAAAAAGTCAGCAGAGCCCTCGCTGAGACAAATACCAGCCAGCAGATTTTACAAGTGAAATGCCTCAGCAGGCAGGAGCTCAGGCTCGGAATATCCCCGGCCTCCTGCTTCCCAGGCTGAGGGAAGAGGAGCTTTCCTCCTGAAGGAGAGCCAAGGAAGAAGCCTGGAGGCTGGAGGCTGCTGAACAGATTGCAGCCGTGGAACGTGTTGCGGCTCCTCCGGGCCTCCACGCCGAGCTGCTGCTCAATAAAGCAGCACAGCCCCAATTATGAGGCCACAGAACGAGCCATCCCCAAGCTCCTGAGAGGCAGAGTTACCACGAGGGAAGTGCTGCTGCGAAATCTTGGCAGGCTGAGGGATAAAGCTCCCTCAACTCTCCCTTTCCCCACCGCCCCGCGGGGCTGCTGCCAAGCAAAGCTTGAAAAATCGTCCGTGCTCACACCAAGTGGGGTGGAAAATGGCCCAGCTCAGCTCCTACTCACTAGTTCAGCAGCAGCTTGGTGAGCTCCATGTAGTAGGGGCTGGGCATTGGAGTGAAGGTGTCCTCTTTCCGCTCCTGATCCCGGATTTCCTCCAGTTTCCCTAAAATACAACCAGGGACGCTCAGGTTTTGTGTGTTTTCCCCCCCCTCTCTCCCCAGGGAAAACCCAAATTGTTTGTGTAGGATCAGCTCAGTGTCCAAGCCTCCAGGGGTGGGAGGGCAGGAAAAGGCTCCTGTGAGGAGGCACACAAGGGACATGGATGCCTCCAAGGTCTCCCTCCTCACAGAGATTTTCCCAAGAATCAGTGACAGGATGAGAGGAAACAGCCTCAGATTTTGCCAGGGGAGGTTCAGGCTGGACATCAGAAGGAATTCCTGGACTGAAAGGGTGGTTAAACTCTGGAAGGGGCTGCTCAGGGAGGTTTGGAGTCCCCAGCCCTGGAGGTGGCACTCAGTGCTCTGGGCTGGTGACAAGGTGGGCACAAGTTGGATTTGATGAGGCTGGAGGCCTTTTCCAACCTAAAAAATTCTGGGATTCTGTGAACCAAAGTCCCTAAAGCTTCTTCTGAGCAAGCCTCACCACCCTCAGAGTAAATAAAGAATTCCAGTGGTGGGACATGAGATCCTTCTGTCTCAGCTGCTTTGTGTCTTTGAATTAAGCTCCCCACTAATGGTGGAAAGCGGATTATTTTTAATTTCATGTTTCCTCTGCACCCACTGAAGGCCAGAGCTGAAGCCAGAGCCTCCATCCTCACCAACATCCATCCATTCTGGGGGAATGAGCCGACACTTCTGCCTCTGCTTCAGATTAATGGCCAACCACACAGGCACTTCCACTGGCAAACCAGGATTGAAGGGACCCAGATCTCCCTGGAAAACAAATTAAGGATGAGAGGCGGGCAACAGCCAGGGCTTGGACTGCACACAGCTTGTCTGCTAATGTGGTTAGAGTTTCCAGAGGATTTGGAAAAGCCTGAGTCAAACATTTGATCCTGCATTTCCTCCTCCTGCTTCCCAGAATTCCTGCTCTCAGACTTTCCCTCATCTCCCTCGAGAAGGATTAACCAATTTTTTCCTTTTATTCCAAGGTGTTTCACAGGAGTTACAAACTCCATCTCCCTGGACATGCAGCTCCCAGAGGCTCCCCAGGAGTTACAAATTCCCTGGACGTGCAGCAGCCTCTGGGCTCACCCTGAGGGTTTCCAGAGGCTCCCGAACCTCCTGGGGGCTGCCCTGCCTCTTCTCCCAACCCTCTGCCTTGTCATTCCCTCATCCCAAATCCATCTCCCATCTCCTCCCCTGCTCCCAAACACCCCAGACCCATCCCAACGCCCCCAGCTCCCGCACCTCAATCCCAATCCTTTAAACCCAATTCCCCAGACCTAATCCCTGCCCCCAACACCCCCGCAGCCCCTGCCCTGCCCCAGGCTCCTTCTCGGCCACCCCCGGCCGTGTCCCCAAGGCCTCAGGCCGGTCCCAGCCCCCTCAGCCCAGCCCGGCCCCGGCCCCGCCGACCCCGATGAGGTGAATCCGGTCGAGGCTGAAGTTGGGCACGATCGTCACCAGCTCCTTCTCGGCCAGGAACTCCACCTCGGTCGGCTCCATGGACCCGGGGCAGCCGAACCGGGATCGGGCCGGGATCGAACCGGGATCGGGCCGGGATCGAACCGGGACCGGGCCGGGATCGAACCGGGATTGAACCGGGGCCGCACCGGGGCCCAGCCCGCCCTCGCTCCCTATTGGCTGCGCAGCCGCCAGGCCCCGCCCACCGCTTCCCGCTCCGGCCGCCCGGCGCGTTTTCGCGGTCTTCAGGGGAGGCGGGGCCTGGCGCGGCGCGGCGCACGCTGATTGGCTGTCCCCTACTGTTGCCGTAGCGCACGCCTCTCTGATTGGGTGGCCTGCGCGCGGCGCGCTCGGGCCGCTGCCCCGCCGGGGGAGGTCCGGATGGGGGTACGGGGACCAATCGCGACGCTCCCCAAGGGCTCTCGGCCAATCAGCGCTCGCACTTGTTGCCGGGGCGCCGAGGGAGTGGCGGTGCCAGCTACTGCCGCCCCCTGGCGGCCGAGAGCGGCAGCGCCCTGCGGGAACGCGCGCGGGTCCCCGCGGCCCCCGGGCTGTGAGGGGTGACACCGACCGTGATGGGTGACACCGACCGTGATGGGTGACACTGGCTGTGATGGGTGACACCGACCGTGAGGGGTGACACGGAGTGTGTGTGTCCCTGTCCCTGGGCGGTGCCCAGGCCCCAGCAACCACCCTCCTGTGCACACACCAGCAGCAGTGTCCGTCTGTCTGTCTGTTCAGTGGCCCCTGTGCAGACACCCATGCTCAGGCAGCTGCCATCATGCACCTGTCCTTTTCCTCTGTTCCCCATCCATGCATCCATCATCCATCCCTCCGTCCATCCATCCATCCATCCGTCCATCCGTCCATCCGTCCATCCACCCATCATCTATCCTTTATCCATCCATTGATTTGGGAGTCTCCATGGAACGCTCCCCACCAGACAAATCCACCTCTCCCCAGTCCTTCTCCCAAACCACCTCGGGCTCAGCCCTGGGACCACCCACAGATCATCCACGACCCTTGGGATGAGCGTTACCCCCAGCCTGGGGTGGGAGCCAACCCTTGGGGACCCCCCACCCACCCCCACCACGGGTGGCACCAGGAGGGTCCCCGAGCCCCCGTTCCCGGAGCAGCCCCCGGTGCCGCCGGCGCGTGCTGGGCGCTCCAGGAGCGTCTCCCCCACGCTGCGCCTCCCCTCGCGTGTCTTTTGCCATCTGCTGCTGTCATTAAAAAATTAAATTTCCATCTGCTTTCACACTCCCGCCTCTCCCGCCGGCTCCGGGTGCCGCCGCTCCCCGGGAAGCATCGCCCCCGGCTCCCTGCCGGGATGCGGCCGATCCGGCGGGATGCAGGTGACGGCGCCGAGTTCATTTTCCCGCTGCTGTTTGCTGAAATGGATCCTTCAATCCCTCCTGGAGGGATGGGGATCCCACTTTTGGCGCCCCACAGGCACGGACGGGGTGATGCTGGCGTGTTTTGGGGTGCACAACCCACCCCCCTGTGCTGACACAGCCAAGTTTGGGGTGCAGAGCCCCAGGGTTTTATTCACCGTGGGGGGATCCCCTCCCCGGCGCTGTCAGGAAAAGGGACAAAATCCAATCCCTGGTGTCCAAACCCACCCGTGTGGGTGCCCCGCGTGTCCCTGGCAGCTGCAGCAGCGCCCTGGGGGCTGTGGCTCCATCCCGAGGGAGCAGGGACAGGTCCTGGCGGGCTGGGTGTCCCCCGTGTCCCCTCTCAGCACGGGCTGCAGGGCGAGGGGCTCTCCCCACGCCGGGACAGCGTGGTGCCCGTGGGCGTGGGAGGCGTGACGATGATGGAGGGCACGTGCAGGTGCTTCTGTCCCGGGGTCGGGGTCCCGTCGCTGCCGTTCCCGCTGCTCACACACATCTTCAAGCCTGGGGAAATTTGGGGGGATGAAAGGGGGATAAAAGGAGATCAGGCACAGGGCTGCAGCATCTCCCAGCTCCCCGCCCCTCCTCCGTGTCAACCCTTTGTGAGCCACCGGAGAATCCACAGCATCCTCACATCTCCTCCCCTGCATCCACCTTGGATTTTGGGGGGGTTTCAGAGGTGGATCCCCTCCTCCCTCGACCACCTGCCCAGCCCACCCCCCCTGAGGGGAGCAGATCGCTTTAATCTGCTTTTTTTAATCAGGAGAAAAGCCCCGTGCGACACAGGCGGCATCCAGGGAGGTTTCAGCTCTTCCCAAGCAAGAAAATGCCCGGAGGGGACAGACACTGATATTTTTAATCTCTTTTTAATTAAGGATAAAGCCCTGCCTTATGTAAGGGAGCTGGAAAAGGGGGAGGGTCTTTTGTTTTATTCCAGGCTCCAAGCTCATCAGAGGGGTCTGGAAGCATGGGGGAATATTTTGGGGCTTTGTCCTGGATTTGGGGCAGGATTGGGATTCCCTGGCTGCTTGCTTCCCCTCTTCAGTTATCCCTTGTTGGACAGGGGGGGTTGTGAGACCCCAAACCCCCCTGATCACTCCCTCCCAACATCCCTGACGTGGAGAGGAGGCAGAGCTCATTTTTGGGTGATGCATCCAACTCTGTACCCATCACAGTGAGAATCCCACAGAATCTGGGCTTGGGAAAAGCCAGGGAAGAGGCAGCCCTGCATCCTGCAGAGGGATCCTCATTAAGCCCCATCCCTAACGACCCCAAGGACGATTAGCAGGAGTCAGAGGGATGCAGAGCTAATGGGCAATGCCATATCCAGCCCTCGCCCTGCGAGGCCAGCAGCACTAAAAGCTTTGCCCCTGTGCAGACATCCCTGACGCCATTCCCAGCCTAAATCCATTAAGAAAATTCAAGTTGGGGAAGAAGCTCCTGGTTGGAGTATCCCTGGGGAGAGTGGAGCAGTGAGGGATGCTTGGGGCCAGCCTGGAGGCCGGGAGCTGGGAGCCAGGCTCTGGGCTGAGCCCTGCATCCCACCCACGTGTCCCTGAGCAGCCCTTTCCTGCCTCCGAGGAAACCCACCTGATTTATGGAGGGCTGCCCTTAACCCATGGATTCTCCAGAGCAAAGGGTGCAGGACAAGCACAGGACTGGGAAAATAAAGCTGGGAAAAATAAAGCTGGGAAAATCCTCTTTGGGGTGATCCAGGCGCAACAGGTCACCCGTGGGACTCCAGAAATCCCACCACATTCCCAAACTCCACCCAACCCGCCCACACCTAAACCTCCTCCCAGGGTACAACCATCCCTCAGGTGCCTTCAGGGAGCAGCAGCACCCCAAACCCCCACCCCAAGCTCACCTTTCAGGCAGGATAACTTGAGCCCCATGTTTTCATCCTCTCAGCGGGATCCAGCTCTCCAGCTCCGCCGCCGGCCCACGCCGCTGGCGCTGGGGAAGAGAGGAGAGGGCTGAGGGAAGCGATCCTGGGGGGAGGAAGGAGCAGGAGCTGAAAGCTCACATATCTCCCTGCGTGTCTGTGCCTACAGGAGCCACAGGAAACGCGGCTGCTCGCTCACAAAACCACCAGTGATGTCACGGCACTCGGGTGACTCAATCTGGCCCGGTGAGGTCCAGGAAGAACTTTTTGGGAGGGTGGAGAAGGAGCCTGGTGCTGGGTGCTGGTCCCATCCCAGCTTCTTCACCCCTGGGCTCTGGGCTGAAAATATTTCGGGATGAGAAGGTTGGGAGCAGGAGGAACTGGGTTGGTTTTAGGTTGGTTCTTGGAGAGAAAACCCCGAGCCCACCCAGGGGAAACAGAGGGATGATCCCAGAGCTGCCTCCCTCGGCTGAGCCAGAGCAGCTGCTGGGATGCACTGCTGGAATTCACATCATCCTGCTCCTCTTGGGCACCCCTGATGTCCCCAGTGCTTTTGGATGGATAATTCCCACTGTGGGACACCATTTTTTTTCAAGATGCTGACAATTTTTCTGCAAAAAAGTCCTTTTATTGGGAAATTCTCCCCCTCCTCCCACAGCTGCTGGGAAAAGCTTATTGGGATGAGGGTCAGTGACTCATTTTGGCTCTTCCAAGCTCTGGGCCACACAGAGAGCCAAGGAGAGCCTCTGCCCCCCCTGCCTGACCTCTGCCTTTCCAAGAAGCCCTGAGGTGGGTCGGCAGCAGCCAGCAAGAGGAAGTGAAAATTTGCTATCTCTGCTTTTAATTTTGTATTTTTATCAGTTCCCCAGGTGCAGCCTGAGCTGTGACCTCACCCAGGGCTGGGGAGTGGAGTCCTCCCCAGGACCTCGCTTTGCAGCTCTCCTGGAGGCTGCCCAAATATCAAGAAATCTGTTTTGAGGCAAATCCTGTGGGTTTTGGCACCTGCTCGTGGCTCACACCACTCAGGGACAGAGCAGGGTCATGCTGGGGACGCCCAGCTCTGGGCACAGGGGTCTCCTCTGGGATCTGATCCTCTGGGATCTCATCCTCTGGAATTTCATCCTCTGGGATCTGATCCTCTGGAATCTCATCTTCTGGCATCTCCCCCTGTGGCCAAACCCTTGCAGAGGACACAGCAGCCCCCTCCCCATGGATAAGGGTCTTATTCCAGCTGAATTTGGCTGAATTCCCCCTGCCAGCATTCCAGCGCGATTCCTGCTGCTGGGGCTCCAACTTCGCTCCCGTGTGCCAGCAGCAGGCCAAAGAAATGTTCGCATCCCGACGAGTTCACGCTCCAAAAAGCCTCAGACACTCATGGCAGGCGTCACTGGAGCTGCCCGGCCAGGGGGGACACTCAGAGGCTGCACTGGGAAGGGGCAAAAGGGACAAAGCCGGGGCGCCGAGGGGGTGGCACTTACCCGGTGCCCGGAGGGGCGATGCCCGCCGTCGCATCCCACCCTCCCCGCGCCGCCGGCCGCTCCCGGGTGCCGGAGGCTGGCACGGGCGATCCCTCAGGAGGAGGGCGGCAGGAGGTGGCAGCCGGCCGGCTTTGGGTTTGGCGGGGTTGGTTGGGAACCTGGTTAATGAGGTGAGCGGCTCCTCCCATCCAGCCCCCGCTCCGAGCCCGTCCGTGCCCGGCAAAGCCCGCGGGTGATGAGGAAAAGCTGCTTTACTCTCGCCCCGCTGCACAAGGCGGTCCAGAGCCCAGAGAGAGGGAGAGGAAGGAGTGCCCTGGGCTGCCGGCAAAGCCCCCGGGCATCCAACATCCCCACAAGCAGCCTGAGGGCTACCAAGTGCCCCAAAGGGCCAGTGAGTGCCCACACCCAGCCGCCGGCATCCCTGAGGTCCTGATGTCAACAGACACCGACCTCTGGGAGCAGCTCCAGCTTGCAGGAAGGATCTTTTCCCCTTCCCAGCCCCACAGGCAGCCTGGCAGCGGGAAGGGCACCAGCGGCTTCCTCACCGTTCCCAGGATGAGCGCTCCGGCTCGGCTCCCACCCCGCCGGGAGGATGCCCGGGAGGAGGCTGTGCCTCCGGAGCAGCCGCTTTCTCCTGCATTAGCAGCAGCAGGAGGCTTTTCCATGTTCCCCCTCCTCCGCAATTAAGAGGCGAGGCCCCTTTCAGGCTCCTTTTCAGGCTCGGTGAAAAGCAGCGGCTCAAACGCGGGGCGCCGGCCGCACATTAAACACCCCCGGCTGCGGGAGGCAGGGGGGAAGGGAAGGGAAGCTTGGAACTTCACCCCGGGATCAGCAGAGAGCCGATGCCAGCGCTTTGGGAGGGCTCCGGTGGGATCAGAGCCCGGCTGGGATGGGCACGAAGGGCAGCAGGGAGAGCAAACGGGTGGGTTTGCTCCGCTTTCTGCTGGTTTGGTCCTGCCATGTCTGATGAAAATCAGAAACCTGGGAAGAGCTGATTTCCTTCCCGATCTGACTCCTCTGATTTGTCAAATAACTGAGTTATGCAGAGCTCCAGGAGTGGGGAGGGTGGCACACGGGCAAGGCTGCAGCTCCAGCTGCGGGCACAGTCCTGAGCAGAAACGTTTGCAACCCACAGCTCTCTTTATTCCCCCAGAAAACTGACAAATTAATCGGTTTATGTGGATTTTTTCCCTGTTCAGCTGCAAAGTCTAAGACTTAGAGACAAGTCCTGAAGCAGAGCCTGGCAAACCTGATCTTTCAAGATCCCATCCCAAACTCAGAGCAGCAGCATCCCATGGAGCCAGGGGTTGCTCCCTGGCAGCACAAATCCAGTCAGAGCAGCACAAATCCCACCTCCACATTGAGCTGTTTTACTGCCTGTCTCCAAAACTACCTGTTTGCTGCTGCTGGGTGAGAACAAACAGCCCCAAACCCACGAGGGCTGGAATTAGCCTGGCCTGGAGCAGCAGTTGTTGCTACAACAGTGACAAAAAGCGATTGTCTTGCTGCAGCAGGGATGGGAAACATAAACACCAGGCTGCTGAAATACCTGTGGTTAGTTCTGCGGGTGCAGCACAGCTCCAGCTGCTCTGCTGACACCTGATAGGCACAAACACAGCGTCAAACACCCCTTCCTGTCCTCCCCAGGGCTGGTGAACAAAGCAAAAACCTTTGTGAAGGTTTAAAAAGCGGGGGTTGTCACCTTGAGGTGACTGGGAATGGCCTGGAGCCCCTCTGGCGTGGGGCCCTGGTCACTGCTGGGTGAGCTGAGTGCCAGGAGCAGGAGCAGCCCAGTGGGCTCAACACCCCCTTTCCAGGGTCACAGCCCTTCCAGGAGTTCCTGGCTCCTGTCACAAGGCTCTGGGCTGTGGCTTGCTGAGCATCTTGGTGGTCAAAGCCCACCAAGAGGCAGCTGGCCAGGGGAGGAAGAGGATGGGCTCAGGGGGTGGGTGAGTTTTGTCCTTGCAGAGCTGGCCAGAGCCCGGCTGTCCCCTGAGGTGGTCACTGGCTGGTTTCCAGTCCTGCCTGTGCCCCTTTGGTACTGGGCTGCTCCTCTCCTGCTGCTTCCCAACCCTCCTGCTCCATCCTGGCCTGGGGCTGAAGCCCTGCTGGGGGGTGAGGATGGAGGGCAGCCTCCCAGATTCCCTCTGGGGGAAGGGCAGGGAGAGCTGCTGCTTCCCAGGCGCCAGAGGAACCGCAGGGACAAGGGACGCGTTGTGCAAACACTGGCCACAAGAAAAGCTTTGGCTGGAGAGCCCGGAGCAGCTCTGCTGGCTGCCTTCAGGAGCTGCTCCTGCAAACACCAGCTGGGCTCCCCTTTCAGCAGGGAGGGGGAGGAAGCAGCTTTCTGGGTCACAGAGTGCCAGGGTCTGCTAACGCAGGTGACACGTCACCCTGGCTCCGTGCTAACTGAGCAACGAGGCCACCTGTCCCCTCCTGCCCCCGGCCCTTCTGGCCCGAGCAGGGGAAAGGGCTGCTCCCAGCCTGGCTCTGGAGCTGCCCCAGAAAGGGGCTTGCTGGAGCTGGAAGTGGCAACCAGTGCTGGGAGCGGAGAAGAAACTCCCTCCCGGAGATCCAGAGTCACCAGGGCTGGCGAGCGGCACCCGGAGGGGATGCCAGGCATGGGGAGGGAGGGAGGGAGGAGGATGTCACGAGGAGGCAGCTGAAGATGCAGGCTCCGGGGGAACTGGAGCAGCTCCAGCATTCCCCAAATACGGGCTCTTGGCAGGAGCGGCAGAGCGAGACAGCGGCAGGAACCGCGTGGGCTGGAAGCACCCCCGGAGAAAATCCAGCGGGATGGGGCAGGAGCTGCTGCAGAGGGGTCGGGAGGGAAGCGGGGAGCGAGCACGTACCTGAGGCACAGAGCTCCCGAGGCACAGAGCTCCTGCATCCAGAACAAGGCACCTCTCCCACGGCATGGATTCAGCCGGGAGGCCACGGCCGGGAATTGGCTCAGGGACCTGGCCACGGCCGCCGCGCTTCCCGGCTCGCTGAGCTCCAGGTTAATCTGGGCCCAGCTTTCCCTTTTATCCCCTGCTGCTACAACCTCGATAGAGTTTTTCAATTAGGTCCATCTTTTAAGCTCCAGGGTGCATTTCTAGGAAGGGCGGCGGCGTTTCGCGCGGCCTTGGCGGGCTGGGCTGGCTGTGCGCAGAGCGGGCCATGGCTGGCACGGATCCTGCCCGCATCCCGCCGGAGTGCTGCAGCCAGAGCAGCCTGGAAGCACTCCTGGAGTGAGCCCTGACCCCCAGCACACCTACCGGGTGTTCTTAAGAGCAGAATTCCCTGCTTCCCTCATCCCAGCTCCGGCAGGCTGGAAGTGCCACACGCAGGAGTGCTGTCCCCCCTGCCAGCCCCCCGTGTGCGTCCTCTCCGAATCTGCCTCTGGAAACCAAGAGGAAGGGATGCAGCTGGGGTGGACTTTCGAAGGAGAAGGCTGGGTGAAAATGTGGTCTAAAAGCGACAGTGAAAAAAATAAAAAAGGGAAATCGATAAAGCCCTCAGCGGCTCCTTGGGCACACAGAAAGCGCTGCCGGCTGCGGGAGGGCTGGCTCAGGGTGCACAGAAAGTGAGGAGGGGGTTGTGCTGCTGGACTGGGATGTGTGGAGGTGTTCGAGCCCAGCTGGGAATAGCACAGCCCAGGCAGGATGGGAGGGGAGCAGCCCAATAGGGACCAGCTCGTGTGGGTGCCCCAGCTCGGCTCCAGCAGATGAATTCCTCCCAAACGAGAAGCAGAGCTCACAGACCGAGCACATTTCCCCTCGAGGCCATTTTCCAGGCTGCACTCAGCCGCAAGCCCACCCCACTAACAGCCTCCTCCATTAGCATCGGCCCAGCTCCCCCTGGCAGTGCCCTCCTCCTCCGGCATCTCCAGCTCGGAGTGCAGCGATTAGGCCGGGAGCCAGGGAGCAGAGAGACCGGGCACTGCTTCCTGCATCTGTCACTGTCACCTCTCCTCCTCTGCCACTCGCTGGAGGAATTCTTGGGGGCAGGGGGCCGCCCCTCACGGCTGGGGTGGGCTCTGCACATCTGTCTGCTCCTGGCTCCAGCTGTGCCAGGTGATCTCTGAACCGCTCACCTGCTCCCGCGTCAGCTCCAAGAGCTGGAGCTGGTACATCTCTGCTCGCTTTCCTCGGGGAGGGAACATCCCAGGAGCAGATGGGAAGAGGGAAAATGTCAGCAGCAGGCTGCTTTGCTTGTTGGATGGGGAAAAAACTTCCCCAAATCCTCGTATGGACACACAGAGTGAGGAGCTCAGGGAGAATGTGGGAGCTGGCATTCCCTGGGAGCAGGGATCTCACTTGTGAGTGCCCCAGGAACAGCTGGTCAGGGATTCCGTGGCTCCTGTCACCCATCTGCTTGTGGGGATGTTTGTCACTGTTCTGGAAAATCGGGTTGAACGGGGAAAAGATAATCCCACAGGCTGGGAGAGCTGGGGGTGCTCACCTGGAGAGGAGAGGGCTACAGAGAGAGCTCAGAGCCCTTCCAGGACCTGAAGGGGCTCCAGGAGAGCTGGAGAGGGACTGGGGACAAGGGATGGAGGGACAGGACACAGGGAATGGCTTCCACTGCTAGGGAGGAGATTTAGATGGGATTTTGGGAAGGAATTGTTCCCTGTGAGGGTGCTAATGCCCTGGCACAGGTGCCCAGAGAAGCTGTGGCTGCTTCTGGATCCCTGGAAGTGTCCAAGGCCAGGCTGGATGGGGTTTGGAGCAACCTGGGATAGTGGAAGGTGTCCCTGTCCATGGCAGAGGGTGCAATGGGATGATTTTAAGATCTTTTCCCACCCAAACCATTCAGGGAGTCTTTCTTCCAAATGCTTCAGGTTGTGTGGATGAGGTAAAAAGTTGGGAGTGAAAAAAACATCTGGGCAGGCAAATGCCAAATCTCCAAATTTTGGTGGATAGGGAGAAAAAAGTTAATCCTGGAAGTCATTAATTGCTAACAAACCGAAAAAGAGTAGGACACACATTCCCAGTGCTGCCTTCCCAGCTCTCAGCAAGAGATGCCTTCCCCAAGATTTCCTCCCCCTGACATTTTAAAAGGAATTACCTGGAATTCCTGCCCTGAATCCAGTAGATCAACCAGCCAGGAAAGCAGCATTTGCTCGGGGCACATCAGCAGGAAAGGGAACGCAGCCTTCCCTGAGCCCTGCAGCTTCCTCATTCTTCCAGGAGAGCCTGGATTTATGGAATTGCTGCTTTTGTCCAGCCTTCAATGCAAATAGGCCAGGGGAGATAAGATCTGCAGGTTTGTCCTCTTTGCTCAAAGCCAGCCTGAGCTTCTGCTGGTGGCAAAAAATCCCCATTTGAAAGCAAAGAGAAGAGTAAAAAAGGGGAAGACAAAGCACTAAAAGCTGCTCCCCTTCCAGCAGTGTGTCCCAGGTTAGTCACAGGGAATATTCCAGCAGGTTACACACTGAGGAGACAAACTGCCTAACAGGGGGAGCAGGATTAGCCTGAATTTGCATATTTATGATCAAAGCTTGATTAGGAGAAGCTGTTACAAAGAACAAGAAACACATTTCCTGTGGCTCAGGAGACTCAGCAGCTCCCTCTGACAACCCCAGAAGGGGAATCTGGCTAAGATAACGATCTGCCTCTGGAACAATACCTTGGATTTCACTGGGTGTTTGTACAAAGTCCTCTTCCTGCAGCCTGGGTGCTTTGCATTCTGCTCCGGGGATATCTTTTCCTACAGATATGGAGTGGAGCAGCCACTGGAATGTGTTATCTGGCTGGTTTGGGGAGCTAAATACATGTTTTCAGTCAACAAGTGAAAACATTTCCCTCTCCTGCAAGGCTGACTCAGCCTAGGGAAGGTTCTTGACTCGGTGCCAACCTCTTTGGTAATCACACCTCACCCGTGCACAGCAGGGAGATAAAAAACAAAGTGCCCAAAGCTTCCTCTCCTCCCTCCCACCTCACCCCGTGGAATCTCACCTGGAGGGAACTCCACGGCCTGGGGGCATCCAGGGTCTATTCCCTGCTGCAAATGGGATTTTAGCCTTGCCCCATCCCTCTCCAAGACCAGGAGTAAAACTTGGGCTTACTGACTCAAAATCGAGAGGTTCTGATAATTCCATTTTGAAATAAGCCCGGGTTGGATGGGGCTTGGAGCAACCTGGTCTTGGGGAGGGTGTCACTGCCCATGGAATGAGATGATCTCTAAGACCTTCCAACCCAAATTTTGCTATGATTTTAACACTGAGATTGGAGACAGGCAGACGTTTTGTGGAGATTTGGATCTTCCTTGTAACAACATTTCTGGACAGGAAGAGAAGGAAATCTGGAGGAATTGTTGCAGGCTGAGGCTGTGTTTAACTACAGTTAGGAGAGAGGCAACAAAGAGCTCTTCTAGGCTGGTATAAAGCTGCATTGTCCAGGAAACTTCTCCTTGGAAATAAATATTAATGGGAAATGAACTAGGCTGTTCCCAGACTCCCTGATTCCATGTACCTGGATCACGAGGAAAATGAGATCTGCTGATTAATACCCCCAAAAATGCACGAAATTAATACAGTATTTCACTACTGTAGACTCCATCTGCAGATTCAAACTCAGTAGTGTTCTTTCAGTCCTTTTTATAAATCATTTACTTTGGGTTTAACACATTCAAGCAGTAACTGTGCTTGCCAAGCCCACAGAGAGCAGGAATCACCAGATTATTTGGGAATACTGCTTTAAAACTCTCTGTCATGCTAAAGCACTGCAAAACAGGTGACACATGAGCATGGAACATCCTCAGCAGCTTGCATTTTACTGTGCCAAGAGAGTTACAATTGCAACCCAGGCCAGAAGAAACCATTCACCTCCCATTTGATCTATTTGCCCTTAAAATCTCTCACCTGAGGACAGGATTGATTTTTTTTTTTTTTTTTTTGGAAAGGTATTTCCAGAAATCATTAAAAAGTAACCTCTCTAAAGATTAGAAAAGCTGAAGTCAAAACTTTGGAATAGGAACAGTGAGGGCCAAGCAGAAGCAGTTCTGGTTTCCAAGGAATAGCAACATTCACTACAAGTGGGATGGCGTCCACGAGGACAGCTGGAAGTGACAGCTGGCAGCTCTTCCAGGGAATGTCACCACCAACATTCCGTGGCTTTACGGACACAGCACCGCGCCACAGGAGAGGCCACTCCTCTTTAATCAGTCAGCTTTCCACACAAGGTACTGAATATGAATTCTATTTACATTCAAAAATAGCATTTTTCTCTCTTCAGTACAGAGTGGGAATGCCCGTGGATTAGTCAGGAGGATCCCTCCTAGCACAGGTGCAGCACAGCTTTGTTGATCTCCGGGTTTGTCCAGTCGTTGCGGATGTCATCCAGGTGATTATCAAAATCCACCAGTGTCTCGTAGGACTTGCTGTCCAGCAGGGAGGCAGCGATTCGCTGGGCTTCCGTCCAGTCTTCACAGAAGTCACTAGGATGGAAAAGAGCCAGGAATCAGTTGGAATCTGCTGGAATCCTGGATGCTGAGAATTTTAAACTTTCTGTGCCGAAAGGCACAGACCCACAAGAGAATGCTGCAATGGACCTGAGGCCGTGGAACAGGATTCCAAAATTAATTGATAGTACTGGGATTACGGGTGTGGAGTTGGTAGAAAACTTAAAGTTTGGGATTTTAGAATATAAAAATAAATATGAAGAAAGATGGAGGTTTTAGGGTTTCTTCTTCTTTACCTTCTTCCTTCTTCTCCGTGGGTTTGGGTGATGTTTTGTAATTGGACAGGAAAGTCCACATTGTGGGCCCTTTGGGATCAGTTATTGGGTTAAAAGGGAAAATAATCTAGGTGTCCTTTCTTAATTGGATAGTTTAGTCTTAAAAGACCTTGTAACAAGAGATAGTTGGCCATTTTGTGGCTTCTAATGAAAGGCTGCTGAACTCATGGTTGTGAGACTGTTTCACTGATAAGAAATAATAAACTCCTGAGTCCAAATGTGAACTACTGTCTCAAGTGCCTCCAATCCAGACCCAGAGAAACTGACAGGAATCACCACAGAAAAACTTTAAATGAAGCCAGGCTGCAGAGACCTCACAAGGACAGCCTGGTTTTCCCCAAAGCCCATGGAGTTCCAAGAACAGCCTGTTTTTCCCCAAATTCCCGTGGAATTCCTGGTTCACTCACACGTGGGGGTCCTTGCACCTCCACTTGTTCTCGTGCAGCTCGTACACGTGGATGGCAGGCTCCACACACTCCATGGTGAACTTGGTGTTGTCAACCTGGGGTGGGACATAAACACCACCTCAGTCTCCTCCTCAGCATCCCAAGAGAAGAAATAAATCCCAAATCAGTTTGTAGAAACAGGGTATTCTACACCCACCCACTGTTTTACCCTCAAACTGACACATGTAAGCTGCCAGTGTCCTTTGTCACAGCAGTGAGGAGGCAAAGCCCAGTTTGTGACATTAAATATAAGAATTTAAGTTGCAGGAGGTGGGCTGGAGCAAGAAATTGCTGCCTGAACATGCAGAGAAAGCCCCCAGTTCTTCTGAGGTGGCAGAGAGCTCACCACAGTCTCTCTGTGAATTTACACAGTATTTCACTGCTTGTTTCATCTCCTCCCCAGAGCATTTAGGAGGGGAAGAGAAACTGAACTCCTCACGAAAGCAGCCAGAGAACAGCATTTCCCTGGTCCAGCAGCAGGCTCAGAACACACAGGGGGGTGTGAGGGGAAGGAAGTTCTTTACCATGATGAGCGCAGTGTCCGTGAAACCCTCGGCAATCCGGGAGGCCACTTTCTCTGCAACCTGGTTTGGGCTGGAGCAGAAAGGAAAAGGAACTGAGTGATGGGAGCCACAAGTTTCAGCTGAAAGCAGCAGGAAATGAGCTCAGAGAGATGTGAGAGTGACTCTGCGTGCTTGCAAACAGGAACAAGATAAAGGAGCTGATGCCACAGCTGATAGAAGGCTCTGCAGCACCTGAACTGGAGCTCAGCTGGGTTTAGGAATGGCTTTGGAATGACATGGAATCAACATTTGGTGGCCTCCTGTCTTCTTCCCCCAGATCAAAGACTCTGCCCTGGCAGGCATTTAAAAAAGAAATTGAGTTTTCTCCCCAGCCTGCACTGAAAACTTGTCCAAAATCAGATAACCTGTGACAACCTTTACCACGTTTCAAAGGTGACAATCTCTATGTGGTGCCACTTAATGTGGTGCCATTGACAATCTCTGTGTGGTGCCAGTTATCTTCAGAACTCAAACTGAACTTTCAAAAAACCATCAAGCCTGTGATATTCTTTCAAACCTCAAAGAGAAAAAACTGTAACTTCTCCTTAAAAATGTGTTCAGCAGATTTATAAGGAAAGGACAAATAATGCTTTTATCCTTAGAAGTCACAAGTGTTCCTTAAAAAACCTAATTGAGTCTGAATAGACATTAACAAATAACTGGAATCAGAGCATTGTGGAATGGTTTGGGTTGGGAGAGACCTTAAAGATCCTCTCATCCCATCCCCTGCCATGGGTGGGACACCTTCCACTACCCCAGGTTGCTCCAAGCCTCATCCAGCCTTGGACACTTCCAGGGATGGGGCATAACACTTTAAACAAGTTGCTCTTATTCTAATTAGTCCCAGTCCTGGATTTGTCCAACAGATAGAGGGGAAAACATGGAATACACAGATCTAAAATTAAAATGTGGCTCCACAGGAAGGTTCCTTATTGTTTAGTGAGTAATCTGAGTCAGCCAGCAGGGAAAAAAATGACTAATCCTGAGGAAGAGAAGTGATAAATAAGAGATATCACTGCCTGACTGACATCATCTTCCACTTCTTCACCACGTAAAAAACTGCTCTGAAAAAACTCAGTGACAATGAGGAAATTTAGAAAGAATCAGGTCACTCCTGACTTTCCATAAGATCCTGGGAGTCGCCAGACTTTCCAAGATCCATACTGCACGAGCAAACACTCTGCAGATTTTGGCTTTTTCCCTGACAACTGCAATTCAAGAAGCTGGCACTGGTTCAAAGAGTGGCCTTTTATAGCAGCCACGGGAGGAGAGCAGGGATTCTGCAAAGCCAGGACTTTCTGCACCTGACCAAAGGCCACATCCCGCAGCCCCACGGAGACAATGTGGAAGCAGCTGACAGTTGTCAGAGGGAATCACACACGCCTGATTTATGGGGATGATTGCTGCTGGCAGAGTCCAAGGTACGAGATAAAAGAGCAAACAGAAGGAAATATTGGCCCAACACACCTGGCATCTTTCACGCGTTCGTTCGCCTGGTAATATCCAGCTATCACGTAGCTGTTCTCCTTGCACCAGGAATCAATCT